TCTGCAAGCCCCTATGAGCCCTGCTTAGTTGATGTCCGTGGGCCCTGTTCTTTGACTCCTCTGTCTCCTACACTTCTATCTCCCTCTCTTCAGCTGGGTTACCTGAGCTCCAAGGGGAGTGACCCAAGGATAGAAACTTGATGGAGATCTCCAATTTGGCCACCTGTGCCCCCTCTGGCTAATGTTTGGCTGTGGGTCTTGAGCAGAAGCTTTCTTTCTGAATTTTTACTTTAACTTTTGTATTTGATGCGTAATGTGTGATTAGTATTTTTTAAGTGACTGTATGACTAACGAATGAATGAATGTTAGGTCAGTTTTATCAACTCCTCAGAGTTATGTTAGGATTTACTTTAATTCTGACCTTTTGTTTCCAAGTAGTCTTTTAATTATGGCTTATAGTATACAGCTATACTGTACAACTTTCTTGACTCTTGACTTTCCACCTGAATGACTATGATTTGCAAATCCTTTGAAAACACTGTAGGATGGTCCTCATAAAGAGTTGCTCGTGCAAGCCCAGATGTGCTTACTGTTGTTATTTGAGGCGGACCTGAGAGCCTGGGAAATAGCCCTTTAGGTAGTGTTTAAACCAATCCAAGACAAAAAGGAATATCTTCTTTTTTCCATTAACACTGTAGCTTTTGTTATGAGTTCTCATAATAAATTACTACACTGAAGTAATTTAATCTATGATGTTTCTTGGCAGGAAAATCTTGAAAATATTTTATTGTAATTGTGAATTTTACACTAAGTCATATTTCAAAGTCATTAGTAAAAAGTTCTGGAAAAAGTACTGTTACCAAGTGTTATGCTCCAAAAAGATGGTTTGCTACTATTTTAGCTGATTAAGTTATGCTGATTATCTGGGCTTTGTTTGAGTTATACCCTACTTGATTTCCAGTAAAACATTGGTTTTAAATGTAAACAATACTTTTAATTCACTCCTAATGTAAATATGAAGTTCTGTGGTCTAAGTTTTTTTGCTGAAGTGTTAGAAATTGTCTATATATAGGCATGTTCTGCATTGAATTAAATGAAATAGTTTTCATACCAGGTCTTTTTTGCAATGGTGTTTCTACTTGCTGAATGATTAAAAAGTAATTAGTTATGAAATGAGAGGCAGACTATAGTTGTTTCTTCTTTTAAGTAATTAGTTATTAAAATGAGATGTGGGTTAGGATGATTCCCTTTCTAACTAAAGCATTTCAAGTGCTCTCCCAGTTCTTAGCACTTATACATGTTTTTTTGCTTAAACTCATTGCCAGATACAGGAATATCCTATATAATTCAATTGAGAGAAAGCCTCAAATCCATTTGTTGGACCTTTTAATTGTTTTTGAATTTTTATTGGACTGTTTTCACCTCTGAAATAGATTATGTGTAATACTTCTCAGAAAATCTCAAATCTTAAATAGTATCTTTGTTTTAAAATAAATTGAAAATTCCCAGCTCCCCTCTGGTTCCTAACTGCCTTCTTTAATCTATTGCAGTAACAGACCGTAGCAACCTCTCAGAGGTAAATAGCCCAAACCAAACCTGTCCGCACTTCTCTGCTATCGCAGTGTTTGATCTGTAGTTGTGGTATAATCATTTCTTACAAGGTTTTCATTTTGGGGAACTGTAATCCTCTGCCCCCGATATCACTGACCTGGTGGAATAGCATCTGCTTCTCTTTATGGTCATAACTAGCAGTCCCAAAGTTTCACTGTAAATGGAAAATTATTTATTCATTCCCACAACTTTCCTGTGTTTGCCATGTGTTTGCTGTTTTGTGGCCTGAGGATCCAGAAATGAGAAATACTTACATACTCTTTAAGACATTAATATTTTGCAGTTTGGTTAGAGAGTGGTCAGGAGGGGCTAGGTAACTACACTCTCCCATGTCGTAAGTGTCTGAAGAAAGGAGAGCTTGTCATGGGATGGCTTAGATGTGCTATTTAACACAATTATGAAGTGTGTTGAGCAACTTCCAGGAGCCATCTTTCCAGCCCTGCAGGTTAGATTTTAACACACCATGTAGCCCAGGCTAGCCTTGAATTCAAGGTCCTTTTATCCAAGCCTCTCAATTACTAGAATCCCAGGCATAACCACCATAGTTAGTTTCAAATGGATGGCTTTGTAATGGACATAGGATGTTATTGTAATTCCCCTGTTCTTAGATAATGAGGATTTGATTAAATAATGACAACTCATAATACACTGTTTATTCTGAACTCTTACATCTGGCTTATGTATCCCTCTCTTCTATCTCTTACTTAATCCCCCCCTGCCACTGCTGTCATTCTTTTTATTGTTATTGTAGTCATGGTTTCTGCTTCTTGGATCACGTGCTTCTTGAGAGGGAAGGTTAGTGGATGTCACCTCCTGTGTAGTATAACCTCCCCGAATAAATGGTTATTAAAATAAGGACTGACTTAACATTCTACATGGAGGTTTCTATATGTACTGTGTATGTATTAAATGCATACATGCGTCTAGAGAGAGCAGAGGAAAAGGACCATGAGCAGTAAGATACAGCCGGACTTTGCTATAAATTATTTTTCTATTTTATTATTTGTCTGAGAGTAGAACTTTATAGAAAAAAAAGTTTCAAATTTGTCATCAAATATGATTGTTATGGTGTTCTTAATTGTCAGCTAGAATTAATAATTATCATTTATTCTTGTTTTTAATGTCTGCTGTTTTTTTTCAAGAATTATTAATTTATTTTATGTATGCGAGTACACTGTAGCTGTTTTCTCACATTCTAGAAGAGGGCATAGGATCCCATTACAGATGGTTGTGAGCCACCATGTGGTTGATGGGAATTGAACTCAGGACCTCTGGAAGAGCCGTCAGTGTTTTTAACCACTGAGCCATCTCTCCAGCCCTCTGCTATCTTCTCTCTGAGTTTTGTAATAGAGATATTGAAACTTATTCCCACAAAATTATGAGGTATATTTATTTACACATCAAAATACTCTACTTAAAACCAAGTAGATTTTCTATTTAATTCTTACAGGTATCAATGTTTTGCCTGCATATATGCCTGTGCATGCCTGCTGCTTGTGGAGGCTGGAAGGTGGCATTGATTTCCTAGAACTAGATTTATAGATGGTTTTGAGCCTTCATATGGGTGCTAGGAATCGAACTTGGTTCCTCTGGAAGAGCAGCCAATGCTCTTAACTACTGAGCCATCTGTCCAGCCCCAGTTTACAGAAAGTCTTCAACTTTATTTAAGACTTTTTTGATGTAACCTTTGTTAATTTTTTTTTTTTTAATTTACCTCCCTACCCTGCCCCAGCATCACTGTGTGTATATGCTGTGGTGTGCTGAGGGAGGCTGGATAACATCTGGGAGGCAGTTTTCTTTCCTTTATGTGTAGTCCTGGAGACCTATCTCAGGCCATCAGGCCTGACAGCAGCGCTTCTACCCGTGGAGCCATCTCACAGGCCTTTGTTGTAAATGCACATTTTTCAAAATTACATTTTATTTGTGTGGGGGCATGCTTATGCCATGTTACATGTGTGGAGGTCAGGGGACAGACAGCATGTGGAAGTCAGTTCTCTTTTACCTGTGGGACCCAGGGATAGAACTCAGGTAGTCAGGCTTGGTAAAAAGTATTTTTACCACTGAGCTATCTTACTGGCCCTGATAGAAGCTTTTATTTTATATTTTTATTTTTGTAATTTATAACTTGAAGGAAAAACAAATGCTTAATTTCTCAGACATTATCAGTAACTACTGGTTCATTGTTTAGCATTTAGTACATAATAACAACAAGAAATATTTTCATTTAACCTAAAGAATTTCTTGGAGCCAGGAGCAGTGGCCCATGCCTTTGTTCCCAACATTTGGGGTGCAGAGACAAGTGGATCTCTGAGTTCTAGGCCAGTCTGGTCTATAAAGTGAGTTCCAGGAAAATGGGGTCTACACAGTTAGCTTAAAGTCAAGTTATTAAGTGATATGTCAAGGTACCTGTAAACTCAAGAACCCAGGAGGCTGAAGCAGGAGGATTGGTGTGTCTAGGTGTTCCAGTGTAGCTTGAGACCTTCCTCTTTTTTTTTTTAAAAAAAAAAAAAATCAGCCTGGTGGTGGTGGTGGTGCATTTATTTCATCTCAGCACTCAGGCAGGGTGATCTCTGAGTTTGAAGCCAGCCTGGTGAGAAGCCAGAGTGAGTTCCAGGACAAACAACAAAAATTCTCAAATCACTTATAAGCAGAAATAAAGGAATTGTTAATATAGACTTGCAGAAGAAAGATAACCCCATTTATTTTCCCTTTAAAAGAAAGATGTATTTATTATTTTTATGTGTATGTGTGTGTCTTGGTGAATGCATATGTACCACATGCATGTCAGAGCCTACAGAAGCCAAAAGAGGGTGTTGGATCTGCTGGAACTGGTGGTCCAGTGATTGTGTGCTGTCATGTGGGTGCTAGGTGCTCTTAACCACTGAGGCATCTCTAGCTCCTTTTCCTGCTTCGTTTTCTTTTAAGGCCTGTGATAACAAGCCACTGATACTGTCAGTGTTTAATTTCTCTGTAGGCTGTGGCTCATGATGGTAACATACAGCCACTCCTGCAGGAGGCAGAAGGTTTGCAAGGTCACATCCTGCTTGGACTACATAGCAAGTGCCAAAGCTCACATCTGAGCAACTTAGAAAAATCTTGTTGAAAAATTGACAAAAGGGTTCCGAAAGGGGCTGATGTGATAGCTCAGTAGGCAAAGGCACTTGCTGCCAAGTGTAAGGACCCACATGGCATAGACATGGACACACACACACACACACACACACACACACACACACACAAACCTACACACTAAACAGATGTAATAACAGTCTTTTCAAACTCCCAAAGACAAGAGACTGAGGGACTGGCAAGTGGCTCAGTGGTAGATTGCTTGTCTTGGATAGCCCTTGGGCCCAGCAACACATGCAGAAATGTCTTCCCTGTATTGTCTGTGTGATCCTCAGGTATATTATCTTACTCACTGATGTAACGGAACCTTCCTGTTTCAGAACCCCGTTCAAAGGATTCCTGATTCGCATGAGATAACACTGAAGCACGGCACTAAAACAGTAAGTTCAAAATGTTTTTGTTCTCTTCATTAACAGAGCTTACCTGGACCAGTCAGCTCGTAAGGTATAATAAGTACACACACACATGTACGCATGCACGCACACAAAACCTGAGACCATTCTAAGGTCGATTGATGTAATGAAAGCTACAGACATCATGAAACTAGAAAGATGACTTTCACGGTCAATCAAAATAGTGGTGCCTTTCATTTTCGTGGGGACCACTAACTGTCAATGTTATTGTTGGCTTTAGGAACCTCTTTTCTTGGGATACAGGAACATTATAAAGTGACACTCAAATGCAGTTGTTTTTAATGGCTTGGGAAAACTTCTCACTGCCTTCAACGTTGTTGCTAAATCAGTAAAAAGCATGAGTTTGTTCACTTTGCCGAAGACTGTTGAGATAAGAAATAAGCTTTAAATGGTTTCTGTGTTGCTCGAAGATTACATGAATTCGATTGTATTTTTACAGTATTTATCTACTAGTATCACGGAAAGCCTAATAATAGAAATCCGTGGTAGCTATTTAAGATGAAGTCACTGTGCGCTACTGCAAAATTATTAAAAATGGTGGTTGAATGGAAGTGTGCATATACAGTGAAAGTGTAAAGTCATCATACTCCCCATTACACTGAAGCCACCATATTTTTAGATGTGTGGCCCATAAGAAAAAAACACATCCTGTTAACGAGAAACAACATTCAATGGAGGTAGATACAGAAATGTGGAAAGTAATAGATAGGAATTGTTAAATATCATTCATGTCACTGACACTTTTCACCTGTAAAGACTGGCTTTATACATATACTGGTAAGTATAATCAGCTTAATGTCATTTTAAATGAAATAAAATATCCTCATTTCTGGTGTTTAGTGTCAGTGTACATAATGTTATGTTAAAATATACTTTGGTTTCCAGTAGATTTTGAGTCTAAATGGTCTTGACAGATTTTTAGAATTAGGAGTGTTCTCACAAATATTTGAGAACCATTGCTGTTATTTTCTTATTAACATTGCTTAAAAATCCCATGGGACTGGAGAGATGTCTCAGTGGACCTGGATTCAATCCCCTTACCTACACTGCAGCCCACACCCTTCTGTATTCTAGTCTCGGTCTAGTTAACAGCCAGTGCTCTTAACTGCTGACCCATCCCTCCAGCCCCAGATAGTGAATTCTTTCTTTCAATCCCAATAATACAAATTCTTTCTTTTTTGCTTATCTAATCTAATAAAGGTTTCTTATTTTCTTTGAAAAAATCACAGGCCTAAACTATTCAAGCTCTGTGAATTTTTCTGTGTGTGCAAACTTGTGTTTCACTTTCCACTCCGAACTTTAGGCTTCCCTTTTCTTTTCCCATTGGATTTGCTTGCTTTTCTTTTGGTAGTTTTTTTTTTTCTTTTTTTTTTTTTTTGGTTTTTTTGAGACAGGGTTTCTCTGCATAGCCCTGGCTGTCCTGGAACTCACTCTGTAGACCAGGCTAGCCTCGAACTCTCTAACTCAGAAATCCACCTGCCTCTGCCTCCCAAGTGCTGGGATTAAAGGCGTGCGCCACCACTGCCCGGCTCTTTTGGTAGTTTTTAAGAGTGGAAGGTTAGGCTATTGTTTTTAGATTTTCTTCTTTTCCACTGTCCATAGGTATAGTAAGGTCATACATTTATAAGCATATCTATTTTTATATATTTCTTCAATGAACTGCTCATAGTGATAGTTAAAGTGGATGTTTTGGCCATGTAACAAAAAGACTGAAATATTTAAAAGTAGAAATTTTGCAGTGGTTTCTTTTAAAGTTTGAAGGAAAATATAAAATCAAGAATTTATTTTGACTTGAAAAATTCTTTATTAAATTTTCCTTGGAGCATGATTTTGTAACCAATTTAAATTAAAACAATATTTAAAATACTTTGCTATAATCGTAAGAAAAACTGTCAAGCATTCAAGCATTTATATAGTTAGCATGCTGCCAGGTTAAATAAATTGCCTAATTCTAGATTCACATCTGAAGCTCAAGACTGAGAAAATGGTGAGTGTCCTTTAAAGTGTGAGGGGGAGAGCTGACATTGAAGATGCTAGAGCCTGTTCTCAGGCTGGGTTGAAAGATGTTTACATATATGTAAGCATATATGAATGCAGTAACAATTAGTGAAGAAGAGGACATTCATTCAAAGGAGTTGTTTGCATATATATAGATACTTATGCATGCAATAGCAATTAGTGAAGAAAGGCCGTGGGTCTGAAGGAGAGTAGGAAGTGAGGTATGGAGGTTTGGAGGGAGGAAACGAAAGGGAGGAATGTTATAATTATATATATAATCTCAAGAAAATAAGGAAAATAAATAAAGCATGGTCCTGGGGGTAGAAAGCTAAGACAGAAAGCTTCAGTTACTTTATTTCTTGGTCAAAATACTCTAGACCATCATTTGTAATAGTTTGATACCTGTTTCTGCATTTTATCACAATTAAATTTAAAAATAATTATTAAAAAATAATTATTTCTTTAATAATATGTTTACAGAAAGTATCTGTTGAATTATAGTGATATATCTGTGATTAAAATATACCGGAAAATTAGTTAAACTTTCTGTCCTTTTTAACTCTTGGAAGCCCAGGGATTGAGGATTAAATTTAGATTGTGGAAGGACACATTCTCTAACTAGGGTAGATTACTTTGTCCCCACTGAATTCTGTTTTCTGTCTTACAGACTTTTCATATCCTTTGGTTTACTTGGGATAATGCTTTAGTGATTTTAGTGACGTTTATAAGCATCAGTAGTGATCTTGCTGTCTGAATGCTAGCCCTGAAAGCATCCTTTTGAAGCCAGGCTGGGAGTGCATGGCTGTAACCCTGACGTGGCAGAGGCAGTGGTAGGAGGAACATATCAGGTTGAGTTTCACCAGGTCTACCTCCTGAGACATTGCTTAAAACAAAGCAAAATAAAACAAAAAACTAAGTACCCCTCCAGAACCACTCCCAATCCCCAAACAAGGAAATAGCTCCTTTAGAACAAAACCACCACAGCCACCTTGAAAAAAAATCTCAGTGACAAACTCTATCATCTTGTCATTTTGCCCTGAAATGTGTAATCCTTTTGCCTTTAGTAGCACAGTAAACTTAGAGGTTTATTCTATCGTTCTTTCCTGATACAGGAAGATTTATCTCATATTTATTGCATTGTCTTATAATTTGAGTTATATAAGGTTTTCCTTCCTTCCTTCCTTCCTCCCTCCCTCCCTCCCTCCCTCCCTCCCTCTCTTCCTTCATTCCTTCCTTATTTCTTGTTGTATTTTGAGACAGAATCTCACTATGTAGCTCTGACCGTCCAGGAACTCAGAGATCCATCTGCCTCTGCCTCCCAAGTACTGGGATTAAAGGTGTGTGCCACCATATCCAACTGAGTCATATAAAATTTTGTGTGTGTGTGTGTGTGTGTGTGTATACTGGTTCACATGTGCAGGTGCATATAGGTGTGTGTGCATGTAGAAGCCTGGGACAGACATTAAATGTCTTCCTCAGGTTCTCTTGATCTTCCCTTACTAAACCTAGAGCCCATCGATTTGGCTAGTATAGTTGGCCAGTGAATTCCAAGAATCTGCTTGTTTCTAACACACATGCACGCACACACACAAGCACACACGCACACAGACATATACACAACAAACAGCAACACCACACACACATAGATAACAATTTCTTTTCTTTATTTCAAGATAAATAATACAATAAAGTGAAGCAATCTGGAGGATGTTATTCGTCACCACCTTTCAGAAGTAGCAACACCTGCTGGTCCACATTTGCTGTGCTTTTCTGACAGTGGAACTGGGGGCTGGAAATGGGGATTGTCATAGTAATTCTTTCCTTTATGAGCTTTCATTTCCTTGTTTTGAACAGGTTTCTGCTCTGGGTTTGGATCCCTCGGGTGCCCGTTTGGTCACTGGAGGATATGATTATGATGTTAAATTTTGGGATTTTGCTGGGATGGATGCTTCCTTCAAGGCATTTCGATCTCTTCAACCTTGTGAATGGTATGTATTTACTTAACAGCTCCACGTTTAGCTTTGGTTTTTATATTTGGAGGTGATGCTGTTGTCATTTGAACTCAGTCTATAATGAATAATAACTTATATAAATTATATAATAATTAAATGAAAATAAACCATGCATTCTTTTTCCTTAGCTTCATTGACACGTATGTCACATACATATTTGACACACATATAAAATACAGATATTATGCATTATATAAACTATATATCTATATATTATTTCTATGTGTATGTGCATGTGTTATGTGTGTAGGTGCATGTGGCAGTGTAAACATGTAAAGAACGAGAACAACTTGCTGGAGTTACTTCTCTCCTTTCATCATAGGAGTCCTGGGGATCTAGCACAGACCTTCAGCCTTGGCAACAGACACCTTTACCCACTGAGCCCTCTCCTGCCCCTTGACCTCTATTTAAAGGCATTTTCTATCATTTTTTTTTTAAATATATCTATTTAAAACTTGTTCCTTCCTTGCTTTACTTTAAAACATTCCCGTTTTAAGGTTGGATAATGTGGTGATGTTTTGGTTGTTTTTTGAGACTGGGTCTTTCCATGTAGTCCTGGCTGTCTTGGAACTCACAGAAATGCCCCTGCCTTTGTCTCCTGAGTGCTGAGATTAAAGGCACATGCCACCACATTAGGCTTATAATGTGTTTTTGTTTATGGTACACACTAAGTCCTTATCCAAGCAGTGGTCCATGCTGCTTTCCTGTATGGTCAGTTAACATTGCACTAAAAAGGCTTGACGTGCTGCTTCCAATAGTGGCCTTTTCTATTTCTGACTATACATGGGCATCTAGCATGCTTCTCCTTGTGTTTTACTCCTTTGTCTCTTCCCCAGTATTGTCAGAGAAAAGACTTGATAATGCTTCATACTGTACCACACTGATTGCCATATACTGATAGATTCCTACATTAAAGTGATATTAATGAAGGAATCACTTCATTGTGAAGTGAATTTTTTTATTGGATATTTTATTTACATTTCAGATGTGATCCCCTTTACCCATTACCCCCCCCCCCCAGGAACCCCCTATCCCATCCCCCCTCCTCCTGCTTCTATGAGGATGTGCCCCACTCACTCTCTCACTCCCACCTCTCCACCCTCGAATTCCCCAACACTGGGGCATCCAGCCTTCACTGGATGAAGGACTTCCTCTCGCACCTAAGCCTGGGAGCTGTGGTTGGTTAGTATTGTTGCTCTCCCCATGGGACCACAAACTCTTTCAGCTCCTTCAGTCTTCTCTCTCACTCCTCCATTGGGAACCCCATGATCAGTTCAATGGTTAGCTGTGAGCATCCGCCTCTGTATATGTCAGGCTCTGGCAGACCTCTAAGGACACAGCTATATCAGGCTCTTGTCAGCATGCACTTCCTGGCATCCACATTAGCGTCTGTCTTTGATGACTGCACAAGGGATGGATACCCAGGTGAAGCAGTTTTCGGAAGGCCCGTCCTTCAGTTTCTGTCCCACACTTTGTCTCCATATTTGCTCCCATGAGTATTATGTTACTCCTTCTAAGAAGAACTGAAGCACCCACACTTTGGTCTTTCTTGTTCATGAGCTTCATGTGGTCTGTGAGTTGCATTTTGGGTGTTTCAAGCTTCTGGGCTAATATCCAATTACAGTGAGTGCATACCATGTGTGTTCTCAGGATGATATTTTCTAGTTCCATCCATTTGCCTAAGAATTTCTCAAATTCATTGTTTTTAATAGCTGAGTAATATTCCATTGTGTAAATGTACCACATTTTCTGTATCTATTCCTCTGTTGAAGGACATCTGGGTTCTTTCCAGTTTCTGGCTATTATAAATAAGGCTGCTATGAACATAGTGGAGCATATGTCCTTGTTATATGTTAGAGCATCTTCTGGGTATATGCCTAGGAGTGGTATATAGCTGGGTCCTCAGGTAATGCTATGTCCAATTTTCTGAGGAATCGCCAGACTGATTTCCAGAGTGATTGTAACAGTTTGCAAATCCCACCAACAATTGAGAAGTGTTCCTCTTTCTCCACATCCTCGCCAGCATCTGCTATCACCTGAGTTTTTGATCTTAGCCATTCTGAGTGGTGTGTGGTGGAATCTCAGGGTTGTTTTGATTTGCATTTCCCTGATGACTAAGGATGCTAAACATTTCTTTAGGTGCTTCTCAGCCATTCGAGTTTCCTCAGTTGAGAATTCTTTGTTTAGCTCTGTACCCCATTTTTTAATAGGATTATTTGGTTGTTTGGAGTCTAATTTCTTGAGTTCTTTGTATATATTGGATATTAGCCCTCTATCAGATGTAGGATTGGTAAAGATCTTTTCCCAGTTTGTTGGTTGTTGTTTTGTCCTATTGACAGTGTCCTTTGCCTTACAGAAGCTTTGCAATTTTATGAGGCCCCATTTGTCAATTCTTGATCTTAGAGCATAAGCCATTGGTATTCTGTTTATGAACTTTTCCCCTGTACCTAGGTATTTGAGGCTCTTCCTCACCTTCTCTTCTATTAGTTTCAGTGTATCTGGTTTTATATGAAGGTCCTTTATCTACTTGGACTTGAGCTTTGTCCAAGGAGATAAGAAAGGAGATAAGAAAGGATCGATTTGCATCCTTCTACATGCTGACCTCCAGTTGGACCAGCACCATTTGTTGAAAATACTGTCCTTTTTCCACTGGACGGTTTTAGCTCCTTTGTCAAAGATCAAGTGACCATAGGTGTGTGGGTTCATTTCTGAATCTTCAATTCTATTTCATTGATCTTCCTGCCTGTCTCTGTGCCAAAACCATGCAGTTTTTATCACTATTGCTCTGTAGTACAGTTTGAGGTCAGGGATGGTGATTCCCCCAGAGGTTCTTTTATTGTTGAGAATAGTTCTCGCTATCCTGGGTTTTTTGTTATTCCAAATGAATTTGCAAATTGCTCTTTCCATCTCTATGAAGAATTGATTTGGAATTTTGATGGGGATTGCATTGAAACTGTAGATTGCTATTGGCAAGATGGCCATTTTTACTGTATTAATCCTGCTAATCCATGAGCATGGGAGATATTTCCATCTTCTTCTTTTTTTTTTTTTTTTTTTGGTTTTTCGAGACAGGGTTTCTCTGTATAGCCCTGGCTGTCCTGGAACTCACTCTGTAGACCAGGCTGGCCTGGAACTCAGAAACCGCCTGCCTCTGCCTCCCAAGTGCTGGGATTAAAGGCGTGCACCACCACCGCCCGGCTCAATTTCCATCTTCTGAGATCTTCAATTTTTTTCTTCAGAGACTTGAAGTTCTTGTCATACAGATCTTTCACTTGCTTGGTTAGATTCACACCAAGGTATTTTATATTATTTGTGACTATTGTGAAGGGTGTCATTTCCCTAATTTCTTTTTCAGCCCATTTATTCTTTGAGTAGAGGAAGGCTACTGATTTGTTTGAGTTGATTTTATATCCAGCCACTTTGCTGAAGTTGTTTTTCAGGTTTAGGAGTTCTCTGGTGGAAGTTTTAGAGTCATTTAAGTATACTATCATATCATCTGCAAATAGTGAAATTTTGACTTCTTCCTTTCCTATTTGTATCCCTTTGGCTTCCTTTTGTTGTCTAATTGCTCTGGCTAGGACTTCCAGTACTATATTGAATGGGTAGGGAGAGAGTGGGCAGCCTTGTCTAGTGCCTGATTTTAGTGGGATTGCTTCAAGTTTCTCTCCATTTAGTTTGATGTTGGCTACTGGCTTGCTGTATATTGCTTTTACTATGTTTAGGTATGGGCCTTGAATTCCTGATCTTTCCAAGTCTTTTACCATGAAGGGATGTTGAATTTTGTCAAATGCTTTCTCAGCATCTAGTGAGATGATCATGTGGTTTTTTTTTTCTTTGAATTTTTTTATATAGTGGATTACATTGATGGATTTCTGAATATTGAACCATCCCTGCATTCCTGGGATAAAGCCTACTTGATCATGATGGATGATTGTTTTGATGTGTTCTTGGATTCAGTTTGCAAGAATTTTTTTTTCCCGAGAGATATTAAGGAAAAATTATTGTTGCTTCCTGTCATTTTTGTTATTAGAGGTGTGATTATGTTTGTGTAGCTATCTTCTTTTGGGGTTGTTGGAGGATTACTTTCTTGCTTTTTCTAGGTTGTAGTTTTCTTCTTTGTGTTGGAGTTTTCCATCAGTTATCCTTTGAAATGCTGGATTTGTGGGAAGATACTGTGCAAATTTGGTTTTGTCATGAAATATCTTGGTTTCTTCATCAATAGTGATTGAGAGTTTTGCTAGGTATAGTAGTTTGGGCTGGCATTTGTGTTCTCTTAGGGTCTGTATGATATCAGTCCAGGATCTTCTGGCTTTTATAGTCTCTGGTGAGAAGTTTGGTGTAATTCTTATAGGTCTGCCTTTATATGTTACTTTATCTTTTTCCCTTATTGCTTTTAGTATTTTTTCTTTGTTTTGTGCATTTGGTGTTCTGATTATTATGTGATGGGAGGTATTTCTTTTCTGGTCTAGTCTATTTGGAGTTTTGTAGGCTTCTTGTATGTTTGTGGTCATCTCTTTCTTTAGGTTAGGGAAGTTTTCCTCAATAATTTTGTTGAAGATATTTACTGGCCCTTTAAGTTGGGAATCTACATTCTCATCTATACCTATTATCCTTAGGTTTGGTCTTCTCATTGTGTCCTGGATTTCCTGGATATTTTGGGTTAGGAGCTTTTTGCATTTTGCATTTTCTTTGACAGTTGTGTCAATGTTTTCCATGGTATCTTCTGCACGTGAGATTCTCTCTTCTATCTCTTGTATTCTGTTGATGATGCTTGTGTGTATGACTCTTTCCTAGGTTTTCTATCTCCAGGGTAGTCTCCTTTGAGATTTCTTTATTGTTTCTATTTCCATTTTTAGCTCCTGGATGGTTTTGTTTAATTCCTTCACCTGTTTGGTTGTGTTTTCTAGCAATTCTTTAAGGGATTTTTTGTGTTTCCTCTTTAAGGGCTTCTACCTGTTTACCTGTGTTCTCCTGTA